GAAGGAAGGACGAAAGGGCCGAGTACGTTAAGGTCGGTGGAGCACAGCGCCACAGGACGTTAAGTACGTCTCGTAAAAATTCCATCGAGGCAGCGTCATTTTGCCGTGTCTAAGGGGCTACGGTCTGGTCTGACCGGGGGTTTGGATAGGCAGGACTTACCCTGAGGCCGCCCATGTACAACCAAGTAGGTACGTCCCATCAGTAGAGGTGGTGCACAGACCGACCAGACGTAGTAGGGGATTCGAACGATCATGCTCCCTCCTACGGTTCGTGTTCGAGGCGGTCGAGAGTGAAGTGCCTGCCCCTGCAGGAACTCCGGCCCGAGATCCCCGTCCCCGTACCATTTCGAGTCACTGGCTTGGCCTGGTCTGATAGCAAGCCACGAAATCCCGTAGCTCGTTTACCATCCACGTATTGACGTTTCGTCCGCGTCTACGGAACCGACGTGTTCGACATGCTCGCGTCTGACTATCGGATCACCGGATTCCTCCGACAGTTGTGTGCCACGAGGCCGTGACAGTGGTGTCGTGACCGAGACGTTCGACAGCCAATGTGCGTGTGAAACTCCGTTTTTTCGTGACAGCCAAAAAGGCTTCGCGCGCCTCTTTCATTTCGAAGAGCGAACGATACTCGACAGAGTTTTGGGTGATCAGTCGACGAAGGTGGAAAGCTGTGATGATCGATCGCGAGGACAGTGGTTCTTGAGTCCCTCTCAGACGGAAGAAATTGCACGGACGTTTGGTGAAGCTGCCTCGTTTTGTCACTCGTCTCGGTAACCGTGAGAATCGATTGGAAAGAAGATAGATTCGTCGTCTCGTGATGGTGCGACGAGAGAGTGGTGGAAGGTTTCCGTGATGTAAGAGACGAGAACCGTTGGAACGATGACTGGGGACGATCGGCAGGGGTTACAATGACGGTGCATCGTTGAGAGCAGAAAAATTGGCTGTGCACGAAAACCACGAGACGATGATGACTGGTTGGATTCGAGAGGACCAGCCAGTCTGAACGAGACTCGTTGGAGACTGTAGCGCGAGAAAATGCGGGCAAGTGACGGACAGAATTTCAGTGAATGTCGTCGTTGTTTCACGTGTGGGTGCGACGCGTGAACTGTTGACTGTCGTCTAAATCGATCGTATCTGATCTGATTGTCAGCTGGTCTTTTCGAGAATTCCACCTAGCCAGAAGGATTCCTAGGGCAGTTACCTATCCCTAGGAATGTGCACCACGGAAATGACAGAATCGTACACGATGTCGCCGTCGACGACGGTGTCTTCCAGTGCGGCGACAACGCCGGGCTGCCTAGGATCGCCGGCTCACCGACGGACGCCTTGCCGTGGCTCCTCTCCCGGTCGAGGCGGCGACGTTCAGGACGACGAGGACGAGATCTCGGTTGGCTGCCCGAGCCCTTTGCCCCTTGTCGTCGTTGCACCCAGCGTCGCGGAGGAGGACGAGAGACTGCTGTCGCAGTCGAGGGAAGAGTACGTGGACAGATTGAGCCCGCGAAGAAGCTACCCGAGGGATTCCGTCTCGATCGAAGACGAGGACAGTTACTCCCGCAGTGGCGACTACAGGATGATGTCGAACGGAAGAGGGCTGCGCGCCCGCGAGAGCAGCGGCGGCGATTCCGTGACCACGTTAAGGGACGAGGAGGAGGACGAAGAGGACGACGAGGAAGTGAACAGTAGGACTAGCAGTAACGGTGCCACTGCGGCCGGTGCCGCGGACGATTACTTCAAGCCGTTGAAACGTCTGAAGATGGTGCAGATGCAGCACTCGGACGAAGAGGACGACAGAGGGGATCGGGACACGAACGAACGAGGGGTGAAGTCTTTCAGTATTCTCGATATTCTGTCGCATCGACCCAAGGCGAAAATCGTACGTCCGTGGGACACGGTCGAGTCGAATCTCAACCACCATCATCGCCATCATCTTCAGCAACAGCAGTCCCATCATCAACAACACCACTTGCATCATCATCACCATCATCATCATCATCACAATCATTCCACGGCGCCGAGGGATCTCTCTTTGATGGGTATGTCCTTGGCGTCCATGTCGGCCGGCTCTATCAGCGAGCCACCTCTCAGCAGCTCGTCCTCGTCTGGGAGAAGCTCCGTCTCCGATTCCGGAAGTCCTGACCCGCTGGGCCATCATCATCACAGTTTGCATCATGGTATACACCCTGGCTTGCATCATCCGGTGTTGCAACAACAGCAGCAACAGCAGCAGCAGCAGCAACAGTTTAAAAGGAAAACGTCGCAACAGCACGGTTCCCAGAGCGGCGGTCACCACGGGAAGAGGACAACGGGACAGGGAAGTCCCCTGGACGCGTTGTTCCAAATGACCAGCAAAACGTTCGACGCCGGCGAGCATAGTCAAGGTGAGCTCTTACGTTTGCACGTAACAAGCTGGCGATTTTCACGCAACGCGTATGAGCTATCGTCTCGAGAACAGGTGCGCGAGATATCACCATAGGCCGTGGAATTTATTTCCACGGAGAGAATCGTTGGACGCGCGTGTATCGCGCACGCGGTGAAAATAGGAATTATTACGGAGGCATGATGGTGCAACTGATTACGTGTGTCGTATTTCAGTCGTGGCGTATACGTGTAGTATCGTCACGATACCTCTGCTGAAACAATGCTTGGCATGATTCCTTCACGCATGCAAATTCTCCGCCGAGCGAGAACGACTCTTAATAGAATCGAATAGACGTTTCTTTATTATTGATGGCGTGGAAGCTCGCTTTTGTCCGCCCGCCGTGGCATCCTCCGATGAGAATGTAGTTCTTGATTTTGATTGATGTTCTCTCGCTGAACGTCGATGTGTTCCCTTCTTCCGCCAATGCCACCGATAAACACTTTGCTTGTTATTGTTTCCTACGGCACTGTGAATTGAATCCTTTACCTTGGAACCCACGAACTCGTTCTACTTCTCTGCCGTCGATTGCCAAAAATATTAATCATCCTGCCATTGCATTGTCGTCTCGAGCGTCGTTCGACCTGGAACGGCCAAGAACTGTGGTTCATTACGCCACGGTCATACAAAGCGAAGACTTTTTTCGTCCGTTTCGTCATCCATCTATATCTGACAGTAGTACAACGACACGCAAGTACGACGCGCGGCATATCGTCAATAGGACGCTGGTTTTGTTCCTTTTGTCTCGGTATTCCAGCAATTAGCGGCTAAATAGCTCGGGGACCGGTCCCGGTTGAGGCGCCGCTTCGTTAAACAGGCTCCGTTACAGTATTTAGAGACGAGAGAAGCGCGATGCACACGAGTATCTTGGAGCACATACCAAGTGCTACTTTCCAGAAGCACGCTTCTGCGAACGCTACTAATATTAGTAGCTGCTCTAGCCGCTTGTTACAAGATGCACCGTAATTGAACGACGATGACATTTTTCACCGTGGCTTGGTTCTTACGAGCGGCTTGTTTTTTTTTTTTTTTTTTTTTTTTTTTTTCTTTTTTCGACAATGATATTGTTCGACGTAATCTCGTTTACGATTGATGGTACACGATGGACAAGCTCAATGGCACACGTGGCAACCGATCAACGAGACATTTTGATTCGTTAGAAAGACGTGGATGAGCCTGCAGCCGTCTGTTTGTCAAGTTCCACTGATTTTCCTTCGAACGAATTCGTTTCTGATTGTTTTCTCGTTGGTACGGGTTTAAAGGGGATGCAAACACCGAGAGAAAAAAAAGGTGTTGTAAAGGTTATGCTCTCGTCCAGGACGTCTTATCCAGGTCCTCGAGATTCTAATGGAATTCTAATTTCATCGGAGACGCAGTAAACGCAAGAATTGTCAGTGCGTAAAGGGATTTTCGTTGCACCGGTGCAACGACACACAGAACTAACTCTGAAACGAAGTTCGATTTACCGATGATATCCTTCGAAATCGACAACGCAAACAGAACCAGGCCGCCTGCGGCTGTTTGTAACCTTCCTTTAATCCAATTACCTGCAGCAGTAAAAGGCTCCGCAGGCCCTGGGAGCGTGGTTGCGCAAACACGAGCCCGTTTTCCACGAGGCACCGTTTCCTCTTGGACGAAACGGTGCCGACGAAACGTCGTAAAACCCAGTTTTCCGTAACCCAGGCCCCGGGAATTCGCAAATTGAATCTGGCATCGCTCTCGGCGGGATTAAAATTGGTGCCGAAAGAGGCACAAAGGTCCGTAATAATCATCGTAAAATTAAAGATTTACGGGACGAAGAATTGTGGCGGGCCTAGCTTCTCTCTTCAGAGATGGCCCTCTTTGAAGTCCCTTTCGACGACCGTCTCCGTGATCGTCCATTGTTTACCGTAGTCTTGGCAAATTGTTTTACAACACCGTTGGCTCACGCCAAGCGTTGGCGCGTAGCCGGCGTGTTTGCTCGAGAAAAGGGA